CGCACCTCTTTCCTCCCTCTTCCGTCCTTCTCTTCTTCACCTCTCACCCTCTCCTCTTATCCGTCCTCTTGGGTTGAGAGATAGAGAGACAGGAGACGCTATGTGCATCTCAGTTTTGTTGGCGAGATTGGTGCTGTCACTCCCAGAGACTGTCGAGAGAGAGAGGAGAGAGAGAGAGAGAGAGAGAGTGAATATTATCACTATTTTACTACCACCACTACCAGAACAACCACCATCACCACTCCCACCACCACTACCCCCACCACCACTACCCCCCCACCACCACTACCCCCCACCACTACACACAAACAACCACATATTTATACAGACCTTAGATCAACAACACCTTGATAAGACAAACAGGTATGTAGATGACGTCATTAATATCACCTTTATATACCTGTACTATAAAGGTTAAATTACCTCACTTGATACAGTATAGCACTTTATTGGTCCCGTGTTAAGAGGTCCTTCCCATCTAACCTTTTCCCTTCCCTCTCTTCTTCCTCTCTTCTTCTTCTTCTCATCTCCCTGTCATTCTCCTCTCTTATCTCCCCCTCTCTCTCTACCCCTTTCCTTCCTCCCTCCTCCCTTTCTGTTCCTTAATATTCCTTCCTGTTTTCCTCTCCCCCTCTCTCTTCAACCCCTCCCTTCCCTCTTCCCTCCTTACCCTCTTTTCCTCCCTCCCCATAGCCTCAACCTTTCAGAGATAAGTATCACCTGTTGAGTTATTTTGACGCTGCTTGTTTTCGTCTTGTTATTGCAGTCAAGTTATCAAATAATGAGAGATGGTGAGAGATGGTGAGAGATAATAAGAGATAATGAGAGATAATGAAAGATGGTGAGAGATTTTAAGAAATACTAAGATGCACAGATAAATTTTAGACATATCAAGACATATTTAGAGATATTAAAGAGATAGGAGATATTAAGAGAGATAGGGAGATATTTAAAGAGATGGAGAGATATTTAGAGAGATATTAAGAGAGATAGAGAGATATTTAGAGAGATACAGATATTTAGAGAGACAGAGAGATATTTAGAGAGAGATAGGAAGTTATAATGTATTAATAAGTAATAAATAACATTAGTGGGAGTTATTTAATGTTTGTCTGTTGGAGCTCACGAGTTATTGAGAGCAAAAAAGTGAGCAATAAATAATCACTAAAAGTTCTCTTGAGTTATAAGGAGCTGTTTTCGTGGCTCAGTATTGACCTGTTTTCATGGCTCAGTTGCTCACGAGTCACCTCACGAGCTATTGAGAGCCAAAAAATATATTAGTGAGCAATAAATCAGGCGAAGGAGCTATTAAAGAGTACAATAAACCAGGGTTGTGTAGCAGGGGCCTCTCACCCTCCCTGGGGAACCCGGAGATAATATGCTGCGACTTGCTGGGCGGGGCGGGAGGGCGGGGAGGTGAGGCAGGGCGAGGCGAGGCGAGGCAGGTAGTGTTGATCGGGGTGTGGCGGGGTGTTGAGGGAGGGCTGGGGTGAGGTGTTGATGGGGATGGGAGGGCGGGAGGCAGGGCGGGGCGGGCAGGAGGAGGTGTGCCCGCGGGTCAAAGGTCTTACAGTATGTAATATAGTTAAGGGGAAAGATTGGCTATCTTAGTGTTATATTCTGACCCTCCGTGTGTGTGTGTGTGTGTGTGTGTGTGTGTGTGTGTGTGTGTGTGTGTGTGTGTGTGTGTGTGTGTGTGTGTGTGTGTGTAAGGAGGAGTGAGAGAGAATTAGAGACAGGGTTTTAGAGAGAGAAAGCCAGAGAAAGTGAAAGAGAGAGAGAGAGTTAGGCACCACTAGGGAACAACAGTACCAGGCTTGGGGGAGGGGGAGGGGAGGTGCCGGGCTATGGGGGAGGTGCCACTGACTCCCATATTTGCATTCCCTTACACACCCACTTATCTCTACCATATTTCAGTGCCACCTCTTAACCCCCCTCCCCCTCTCTCTCTCTCTCTCTCTCTCTCTCTCTCCTCTCCTCCCCCCCTCTCTCCCTCTCCCCTTTCTCCCCTCTCCCTTCGGTCCCTTGCACTGGTTTATGGAACCCACCTGCCCATACCTCTTCCCTTCCTCTTCCCTCCCCTCACCTCCCCTTTCTCTCTCTCTCTCTCTCTCTCTCTCTCTCTCTCTCTCTTACTCTTCCTTTCTACTCCCTGGTTCTTATCTAGTTCCTCCTCTTGGCTTTTTCTCCGTTATCTTCTGTCTCTTCTCCTTCCTCCCTTCTTCCCCTCCACGTCATCCAGCCAGCAATGTTTAATCTAGGACCTGGATGACGATGAATACAAAGTGTTGTTTGTTGTGCTGTGGGAGGGGGAGGGGAGGGGAGGGGGAGGGGAGGGAGGAGGGGGAGGAATGGTAGGGAAGGTATAGAGAGGAGTGGGGGATGAAAGTGAGAGAGAAAGGGTGGGAGAGGAGGTAGATGGAAGAGAGAGAGTGAAGAGGGAGGGGGAGAGGAGGGAGGGGAGTAGGGGGTGAGAGTGGGAGGGGTAGATTTTTTGCTC